AATATATTTTTATTGATTTCAGAGAGGAAGGGAGAGGGAGAAATAGAAACATCAGTGATGAGAGAGAATCGTTGATCGGCTGCCTCCTTCATTGTCCCCCACTGGGGATCGAGCCTGCAACCCAGGCCTATGCCCTGTCCGGGAATCGAACCGTGCCCTCCTGGTTCATAGGTCGAAGCTCAACCACTGAGCCACGCCAGCCGGGCTATATTCATTTTTTAATTTTATTTTTTAGATGAGTATATAGTAAAAAAAATTTTTTGGTGTATAGCTCTATATAACACAAGTATAAATTTGTATGGCCACCACAACAATCAGGATACAGAACTTTTCTATCACTGCAAAAATCCCCTGTATAGTCCCCATTCTCCTCCAGCCCTTCACCCCTGGCAACCCCTGCCTGATCTGTTCTTCATTACTGTTGTTTTGTCTTTTTGAGAATGTCATATAAACAGGTCATACAGTATATGTACATGTATTTTTAACTTATGTAAAGAGTATTCTTTTGTAGCTCATTCTGATTCTAATTTATTTCACCCAGCTGTTTAAAAATATTTTTAATTGATTTTTTTGAGAGAGGGAGGAAGGGAGAAAGAGGGAAACGTCATTGTGAAAGAGATGCATTGCTCAGTTGCCTCCTGTACACACCCCAACTGATCAAACCGGCTACCTTCTGGTGCACAGAACGATGTTCCAACCAACTGAGTCATACTGGCCAGGTTCCTCTTGCTCAGTCCCTAGTTCTTTTTAGTAGAGAATGGTATTTAGAAACCAAGAACTGGGCTCCAGATGAACACCCTTGTTTTTTTAAGGTCCATTCACACCGCTGTGTGTGCACCCAGTGTCCATGGTGTTCATCCCAGTTTTCCTCCTCCCTTCCTTCATGATAGACTCCCACACTAATTCACAAATACCTCTGTAAGGAACAGCCACCCAGCCAGGGCAAGTAGAGGCACAGGAATTTGAACCCTGGTCTGTGACCTTTTCCTACCATGCTGCTTCCCGTGGAAATTGCATTTGCTTCCTGTAGAACTGTGTGTTGAATTTCTACATCTTTTCTAAAAAATAAGCTAAGAAAGTGCAGAGCAAAGTGTTCTCCCCCAGCATCCTGAGGAGGGGAAAGTAATCAAGAGGAACAGAAGTAAATGTGGCTTCTGCCATCCTGGGCCTGGAGTTCTCAAGTGGCAGGCCCTGGGTTTACCTGTAGGTGACTGTCTCCAGGCCGAGTGTGGAGGCCTCAGAGGAGGCAGGATGGGGGGACTGCCTCACTATGGAGGGGAAAGTCTTAAAATAAAAAATACCAGATTGTTGCCCAGCCGGCGTGGCTCAGTGGTTGAGTGTCGACCTATGAACCAAAAGGTCACGGTTTGATTCCCGGTCAGGCCACATACCCGGGTTGTGAGCTCGATCCCCAGTGTGGAGTGTGCAGGAAGCAGCCAATCAATGGTTCTCTCTCATCATTGGTGTTTCTATCTCTCTCTCTCTCCTTCTCCCTTCCTCTCTGAAATCAATAAAAAGATATATATTTTTAAAATACTAGACTATTATTCTAATCCTTTCTGAGAAGTTCAAATCATTTCTTCCAGAAGTGCTCAAGTTCTAAGAGGAGAGGGGTGTAGCAAGGTTTTCCTGGGCTCACAGAATTTCCAGGCAGGTTGGCCTCCTGAGCCTTTCCTGGTAGTGATAACTGATAACCGTGGGCAGGCACGCAGTTTCCACAAATTCCAGCAGAGAGGTGGAGGGAGGGAGAAGGGCTGGGTGAGGAGGAAATCTGTTTTTGGGCCAGGACCAAGCAAAGCAAAAATTCCTCCTGGGACAATTTACCCCAGTGGACAAACACTGAGAAGCCTGTTTACTGAGCTTTGAAAGCCTGTGATCCCCAACACTGCTTCTTGACCTCAGGGCCTTGTATCTCTGTGGTTGTACTTCAGGTGAAAACCTTTTTACGGGGAGGTAGAAGAGGGTAAAGGGGGGGATAAATGACTATGGAAAGAGACTTGACTTTGGATGGTGAGCACATAATACAGTATAAAGATGATGTCTTATAGAATTGTACACTTGAAACCTATCTATATATATAAAAGCCCATGCGACCTTGACAACCGGACAACCAGTCGGTAGCTATGATGCGCACTGACCATCAGGGGGCAGACGCTTAATGCAGGAGCTGCCTTCTGGTGGTCAGTGTGCTCCCACAGCCCATCTCCCGTGGCCGGCCATTCCCCTCCCCCTGGCTGGCCAGCCAACCTCCCGCAGTCCCTCCCCCCTGCCAGCCGGCCCCAATTGGCCCGGATTGAGACGGCAAGATTGCCCTGATCGGCCCCGATCACTGGCCAGGTGGAGGACCCCACCCATGCATGAATTCATGCACCGGGCCTCTAGTATAATTATACTAACCAATGTCACTCCAATACATTCAATAAAATTTTTAAAAAGAAAAAGAAAAGAAAACCTCTTTGGGTCGCCCCAGGACAGAAGCGTACTGTCATGCTCCCAGTTCTGGGATCTCCAGAGGCTTCTCAGCGTTCTCTCCTTGATTCCTCTGCTTTAGAAGTCAGGAATTGTGACCTTGTGTGGTACAGAAATGTACTTGAGGAGGGTTAGGTCAGTGATGTCAAATAAGATTCATTTTTATGCCACCTGGGATCAGTTGGTAGCTCCTGGAGCCCTAAGTTGAGAAGGATTCTGAGACAGACTCCCCATGGGCACAGTGTAGGGAGAGTAGAGGGGCCTGTGTACCTCGATTTGCTGTCCACCCTGTAGATGCATCCACGAACATGAGAACCCTAAAAGATTAATAAGGGGAAGATAAGGATGGCTTTTGTTGTTGTTGGAGGGGCTGGGGGTGGGGGTGGGGGGGGAGGCAATGC